AAACAGCCACGCCAGGAAGAGTGGGGTGCCCATGATGAACCACTGAACCCCCCAACGGCACTGAGAAGAGACTGTGAATGGAACTCTTCTTCTTCCTCCCTGCCCCAGCTGCCTCCCCATGGTCCCACTCTGGACTCTGAATTAACCTTTTGGGCCAATTCTTGCTGTACCCCCTTTGTGCCCACCTGCTCGCCACTGTAGGGCTGGCCAGCTACCCAGTATATGCTGTTCTCCCTTCCACTTCCGTGTTCCCAAAGATAACCTACCCTCTACCCCCACCCCAGGAATCCTCTTCTCTGCTGGGTTATTGAAGTCTAAAGTGAAAAGCCTGGTGAAAACCAAGGGCCCTCCCCCCATCTCCCTACTTTTCCATCCCTGTGGCACCGAGGTTGGACTTGCCATGCCGGACTGCCTCACCGAGGCTGCGCCAGGGAGTGGAGGTTCTCCAAGATCTTCCCACAGTGTCCATGGATCAACAATGGCAGGGCAGGGCCGGGAAGTTTTGGGGGGAGGATGGTGGAGTCAGTGGACACCCGGCTTTAAGCTGTCTGGTTCAGCACTCTAGCATCTCAGTGTCTCTCTGTTGGGGCACACTGAGGGACATTCCAGAGTCCAGGCCCTCCCTTGTTCCTAACCGAACCAAACTCTCAGGGTTTGCAGATGCAGCTTCCCGAGACATGGGCCTCTGAGGCTGCCCACAGAGCCTCATCTCCCCCTGAAGACCACCATCTTCGGGGTCAGCTCTGAGTGGCTTGGTCCCTCGGCTTCTCCCCCTGTGGGGGCCTGACTGGCTGGTAGCTCCCTCGCCAGCCTCTCTGAGTGTTCTAGCCAGGGACACAGGGAACAAAGCGCCAGTAGGGAGAGGATGGGGTTCTGCCAACCAGCGCAGAGCTCAGGTCATTGGAATCTGAGCTTGGAACAGCAACTTGGCCCAGCTCAGCCGGCTGCTAGCCTTGCATCTGGAACTGTGGTTTTGCCCCTAAAAGAAAGAGCACACATGTGTGGTGTGGAAGTGAGGCCTATGCATGTCTGGACCATGGCACCAACAACACTGCCAGGATGAAGAGACAAACGCCAATAACTAAACTTAAAACTGGGTCTGCCAAGGAGGTGGACTGGGGCATGGAAGGGAATCGGAGACACTGGTGGAGGGAAGGTCCCACAGGGGGTTGGAACTGGCAATGTAAACTCTCCTAGGAACAACTTGGTAAATAACAATTTCACACATTAAAAATAAACATTAAAAAAAAGAAGCGTACATCCTAGTAAAGCAGATTGAGTTGGGTTGCCCAGTGATTGGGGCTCAGAGGGAACCCCACTGTAAGAATTAACCCCCTCTTCAGTGACAGTGTTTCATATGGAGTTTTTGGAAATTACCCTGAACAGAGCAGTGTGTGTGTGTGTGTGTGTGTCTGTGTGTGTGTGTGTGTCTGTGTGTGTGTGTGTGTGTCTGTGTGTTGCGGTTTTTGGGGAGGCAGGGAAAAGTAGGCACCATGTCATACCTTGGGTTACTAGTGTATCCCTGGGACCAAACCATCTTAAAGGTAAAAGGTAAAGGCCCTCCCGTTGATTGTCGATTTGCTCGAGCGGGCCCAGTAATGTCTCCATTGGAGACTTTGTTGTTACTGTGTTTGGCATATCAAATACGTCATGGGGAGCTTGTCAGGCCCTGCCGTGCGGGCGAGATACTCTTGGTAGCTTGCCGGGCTCTCCGACAGGGGCAGAGGAATCGAACTCGGGTGGGCCATGTTGGACGCTTGTAAGGCGAATGCCCTACCACTGTGCTATCGCTCCAGTCCTTTTAGAGATGGAGAAAACTTTATCCCAATCACTTTATTTCTGCCCTTTCTTTGCAGTATTTCAACCCACATCTGGATTATCCGGAAGCTCTGATTGATTTGCTCTCAGGAGGGACCCTGTATAAATATTTTGTTTTGTTTTTCTCTATTTGGGGACCACAGCTGGCAGTGCTCAAGAGTAGGAGTGGGACTTCTCCTGGCTCCGTGCTCAGGGATGACCCTGGGCAATGCTGGGGGACCAGGTGGTGGCAGAGACGGACCCTATGCCTTAAGTCTGCAAAATCTGCACTCAGTCCTTTGTGCTCTCTTTCCAGTGGCAGCATTGGTGTGCTTTGAAGCATGCAAGGGAATTTGAACATGCTGTGGTCAGGGTCTCCACAGCCCAGGCCAGAGGCAGGAATATCCTTATGCATCCATCACTGCGAGGAGGAACCGGATACTCAGCAAGCATAGGGGTGGGGATGGGGGGGTGCCCCAGCCATGGGGGGGGCAGGGCTCCGACTGTGCTTCTCACTCTGTTCCCCAAGACTGTCCCCCAAGGTCTCCGGTTTGTGGGAAGGAAGTGTTACTGTAGTGTGTGCCCTAGTGAGAACAGATATATGGGCCAGCCCTGTGCTCTCATTCCTGAGGAAATGCAGCTAGAAGGAAGCTGACCCTTGGGCAGTAGGTGACTTCAGACCCTGAGAAATGGTGGCCTTAGGAGGTGAAGACATGCAAGCTTGCAAGCACCCACCAGCAAGTCCAAGCAGTCAACAGAGAGGAAAAGGCATCATCCCTAGGGGCACATCACCCGCTGCATTGCCTGTGGCCTGTTTGCTCAGGTCTTCTGGGCCCGAGGAGAGCCTTGTTTTCTGGCAGCCTGTCTCAGTGGACCCAGATGAGTCTTAGTGGGAATGGCGTGGCAGAGACACTCCATCTTATCTCTGCACATTCTGCAGGGCTAGGTAGCATGGTGATTGGCAGAGGGACATGAAGGGGATCCATGGCTGCCATCTGGAGGGCAGAATGTTGTGGTGGGGGTCCACTGGTTTCCTCAGCGGGGATAGGAAGCAATAGGCAAGGTCAGCGGGACTGGGAAGGAGGCCTCAGCCTGTGACAGAGAGCAGGACTGGTGGAAAGAGCTAGAAGGAGTGGTCCAAGTCTCTTCCTGCCTTAGCCCTCACTGCAGGCATGAGACCCCAGGAGGCCTGTGGGGATTGGGACAGGTTAAAAGGTGGGGGCTTCCTCAGAAGGCCAGTCTGCTGATTGTCTAGCCCCACACATGGCATGCCATGATTCTCTGCCTGTCCCCCAGAGCTTACTGGCCCTCAAGTGCTCCCTCCACACTGAGATAGACAGCTGCCCTGGCTCCTCAGCCAGATTTCTCCCCCCGCCCCCCGACACACACACACATACTCAGCCCACAGGTGATAATGGAACACTGAGCGTAATGTGTACTGTGGGCTCTGAGAGTCACCAAAGTGGCCTTCGGGTATGGTACTCGTGGTCCTTTCTCTGCAGAACCCATCTAACTGCCTCCAGCAATGCCCACTCTCCCCTCCAACCACTGTCTCTGAGAGGAGGAACTGAGAGGAGTGCTCCCCATGGAAACGCCACACTCAGGGTTGAGGCTCAAACCCAGAGCCCCACACATGTTAGGTGTAGAGAAAAGGGGCCAGTGTGTGCGGTAGGTGGATGTTTATGTTCCCTGTGCTGAGTGCCAAGTTCTTCTCTCCCCTCTCAGGGTGAGGAGGTGGCTGGCGCTGGACACAGCAGGAAGACAGAATACAGGAAGACAGGGCCCCAAAATCAAGGATAAGATCTTGTTTGGGAAGGTTGCTTTCTTAAACAGAGCCATGAATATGTGCGTGCGTGCGTGCATGCGTGTGTGTGTGTGTGTGTGCATGTGCGTGTGTGTATGTGTGTATGTGTATGTGCGAGTGTGTATGTTTGTGTGTGTGAGAGAGAGAGAGAGAAGAGAGAGAGAGAGAGAGAGAGAGATCTGAGAATAGGACACCGGGTGGTGCTCAGGTTTAACTCTTGGCTCTGTGCTCAGGGATCACTCTTAACTGGGCTAGGGAGATCATATGTGGTACCTGGGATTGAATTCAGGTTGACCATGTGCAAGGCAACTGTCTAGACCCTGGACTTCTCTCTCACCCAGAGAGCCATGGTTTGTAAGTTCTTTAAGGTGGCAACTCTGTAAAGTTTACAATAAAGTCACTTTCTACTGAATGAGTTCAGACAAGTGCCTATTGATAGCTGGAGAATCAGAAGCAGAAATGTCCCATATCTTACCTTCCTAGGCCCCTGAAATCCCTTTCAGAAATAAAACACTCCCCGACTCCACTCAGGTGCATCTTCTATTCCTATAGTTTTCCTTTCTCTAGATTGTCTGTTTAGGAATTGCACTGGCCATCATTTTGGAAGTCCAGGTTCTTTAACTTTGCAAGTTTGGTTTGGAATTCACCCTTGGGGTTGCATTGTCGATAGTTTCCCAATATTTCTGTCCAGGGTTTTAAGCACTTGCCTTGCATATGGTGGACCCCAGTTTGATCCCCAGCACTTCAAATCAGTCCCCAAGCACAGCCAGGAGTAAGCCCTGAGCATAGAGGCAGGCATATGTCCTGAGCAACACCAGATGTGGCCACTGAACCAGATGCTCTTGTTGCAGGCTGATCCTCCGCTACACAGCCACCGTCAAGTTCATTGTTCTCTTCCCCAGTTGAAGGCCTCTGACTTACTTCCATCTGGGCTGATTTTGAGTAAAACTGTGCAAACACGCGTATTCAAGTGTCCATGTGTCTATGCAGGCGCCTCTTTTCATTTCTCTTGGATGAATCCCTGGCTGTGATGGTGCCTGCATATTGGGCTTTGTAAAGAAATTGCCAGACCATTTGGAGATAGACTTTGGAAGGGGAAATTGTGCACGGAGAGTGCCTGCCTCTCACCCCAGCCTGATGTGTGCATGAACTGCTGGAGCCTTCTCCTGGAAGTGGGGTTCTCTGGGCCCGAATCCCTGTGTCTTAACAACAGCCACAGTTGCCCCACGCTGGGCAGCCAGGCCCTGAGATTCCAATGGAGAGTGACGAGGAGGGGCCTAGATGGTATTGATGGAGAAGAGATCCCAGCCCCAGCCCTTGGTGTCTGCCTCTACCCGCAGTGCCCCTGGCCAGCTCCCTGTCCCGGTAGCCAGCCTTGGGCAGCACCGACCGGCCTTACCTCCCATGAGGAAGAGCAGCCCCGCCACATACTGCATAAGGCCTCGGTCCCAGCAGCAGCCCAGCACGCCGATGAGCCAGCCGAAGAGGATGATGGCCACGGCCATGCCCATGAAGCCCGCCGTCATCCTGCGCAGGTCTGTAGGAAGCAAGTGGACAAGAGGTGGCGTTAGAGCCAGCATGGGCAGGAGACGAGGGGCCTGTGCCCTGCAGCAAGGGGCTGGGTTCGCACAGGGAGCTTCCTTGGAGGAGGGGAGACGTTCCCCCACTCCTCACCAGCTCCCCCTGGTTGCAAGAGCACCCCTGGGACTTCTGAGTTCAGGAACACAGGCACCCAGGGAGAGGTGGGCCAGGAAGATTGCTCCACTGTCTGCACTGAGCTTTTCTGGCTCAAGAGCCTACACACAGCACCCTTCAGTCTGGGGGTGCTTAGAGGGTGGGATTGCTGCTGTGGTTCAACAGGGATCTATCTGGGCATAGTGGCTACCCCTGAAGGGAGCACCTTGCCTCTCCTTCCTGTTTCTACCCTCCTTCCTCCCTCTGCTCCCTCCTCCCTCTTTTTATTTTATTTATTTATTTTATTGAATCACTGTGAGATACAGTTCTAAAGCTTTCATGATTGAGTTTCAGTACAATGATCGAACACCCATTCCTCCACCAATGCACATTCTCCACCACCAATGTCCCCATAATCCACCTCCCCTTTTCCAACCCTCCCCCTGCCTCCATGACAAACCATTCCCCCATACTCTCTCTCTACTTCGGGGCATTATGGTTTGCAATAAAGATACTGAGAGGTTATCATGTTTGGTCCTTTATTTTCAGCACACATCTCCCATCCCGAGCGATCCCTCCAACCATCATTGACTTAGTGATCTCTTCCTTACTTCAGCTGCCTTCTTCCCCAGCTCATGAGGCAGGCTTTCAACTATGGAGCAATCTTCCTGGCCCTTGTCTCTACTGTCCTTGGGTGTTAGTCTCATATTATGCTATTTCATTTTCACAAATGAGTGCAGTCATTCTATGTCTGTCCCTCTCTTTCTAACTCATTTCACTTAGCATGATATTCTCCATGATCACCACTAATAAGCAAATTTCATGACTGCATCTTTCCTAAGAACTGCATAGTATTCCACTGTGTAGATGTACAAAGTTTCTGTAACCAGTTGTCTGTTTTCAGGCACTTGGGTTGTTTCCAGATTCTGGCTATTGTGAACAGCGCTGCAATGAACATAGAGGTGCAGATGAACATATCCCGGAGGTATATTCCCAGAAGTGGTATTGCTGGGTCATATGGAAGCTCAATTTCTATTTCTTTAAGGAATGCCCACATTGTTTTCCAGAAAGGCTGGACCAGTCGGTATTCCCACCAACAATGAAAGAGAGTCCCTTTCTCCCCACATCTGCACCAGCACTAGTTGTTCTTGTTTTTTTTTTATGTGTGCCAGTCACTGTGGTGTGAGGTGACATCTCATTGTTGTTTTGATTTGCATCTCCCTGATGATTAATAAGGTAGAGCATTTTTTCATGTGCGTTTTCCCTCCTCTCTCTTTTCTCCCTTCTCCCTCCCTCCTCTCTTCTCCCTCTTCTCTTCTTCTTTCCCTCCCTCCTCTCTCCCTCCTCCCTTCCCTCTCCCTTGTCTCCTCCTTTCTCTTTCCTTCCTACCTCTTATCCCTCCTCCTCCTCTCTCCATCTTCCCTCTTCTCTCCATCCTTCCTCCTTCTTCACTCCATCTTCCCTGCTCTCTCCATTCTTCCTTTCCTTCCCTCCTCTACCTCCCTTCCTCCCCCCTTCCCTCACCTTTCCTCCTCTCTTTTCCCTCTTCCCTCCCTTCAAGATTTGGTTAGTCTCTCAGAGGTCAAGGGTGTGGAGGAAAATAGACAATGTTGCACCCTTCCCTTCCCAGATCATTCCCAGAGACTCAGGTTGGGGGAGGGGGAGGGCAGAAGGACCTACCTCCTGCTCTCAAACAGCCCCCCACCCCGGGCCCCCCTGGAGACCAGGCCAGGCCCTCTTTGCTCCCTCAGACCAAGCGCATTTGAAGGGTGGAGAGAACTGGCCGCTGGAAAGTTAGCCAATGTCTCTCCAGCCAACCCCGTGGGCACCTTGCTCAGCTTCCGGTTACCTCAGCTCCCCCGGCGCCCCTAGTTCTTTCCCACCCCACTCCAGCAGCCGCCTGGCCTCCCTCCTCCCCAGCATCACCCACCCCAGGTCTCAGGCATCCCCTGGTGCAGCACCCCTTCCCCTACCTTCTTCAGCCCTGGGCTGCCTGTGGGGCACCAGGGGGAGCAATGCTGCTTACACAATCCCTGTACAAGGGATCTGTGCTGAGGGAGGTGGGGTCTGCCAGAGCACCCCCAGGGCACAGTCTCTGCTCTCAAAGGAGAAGGGCCAAATCACACCCACACCCCATGCAAAAGGCAAATGAGCCCCAGTCTCCATGGAGAGCAGGGAGGGGGAGCGGGGGTGGGGTGGGGGGGGTGGGGGGAGGCTGGGTCTGTGTGCCCACAGAAGTGTCCATCCCCCTCCCCCCCCCCCCCGCTGGAATGATAGCACAGTGGGTAGGGCATTTGCCTTGCATGAAGCTGACTGGGTTCGATTCCCAGCATCCCATCTAGTCCCCTAAGAACCATCAGGAGCAATTCCTGAGTGCAGAGCCAGAAGTAACCCCTGAGCATCACCAGGTATGACCCAAAAAGCAAAAAAAAGTGTCCATCCCCTCTTGCACACCAAACCTTGAGCCACTGCCCTGCATCCCAGAAAGGGCCATTTGCAATCACTGTATTTGCTCACCGTGCCCAGGGTCACACTCTGTAGCCATGGGCATAGCCTGTACTTCTGTCTCCATCGCTTCCTGCCTTTTTACAGAAAAAGGAAGAGAGAGATGGCGGGAAAGGTGGGGAGGGGGGGCACAGGCAAGCATTATGCAGAGTCAGCCTAAAAATAATCCCTGGGAAAGAGCCTGAATGATGAGTCGGATTCCACTGGCAAAAGACCGAGATAAAGAAAAACCTTGCAGGGCCTCGCGCTGGGCTGGAGTCCATTATCGGCATTCCGTGACCTGAACATTTAACATTCTAATTTCCCAAATATGAAAAGTACATTCTACACGCTTTTAGAAGAAGAATGTAGTTCCGCACAGTGAAAAGCAGTGGGCAGAGGGGAGCTGACAAAGACGGGGAGTGGAGGAGTGAAGGCAAAGGGAGCCATTTCAATAGAGTCCAAGAAAGCAGGTCTCCTCCTGGAAAAATTTGGATTTTGAAGTTTACATTCCTATTAACATTTAAATCGAAAGGTAGCTTGCAACAGGACGCGAGGAGACCTGCATTTAAATAAACGCCACTTAGAGAAGGGAGATATAGATGCAGTGAATAGCCTTCGACTTGCTCTTCAGAGACCTTTTTCTTTTCTCATTAAAACACCTGGGATGGGTCTGCTTTAGACCTTAAGTGATGGTGAAGACTTGTGAACAGTGCAGACTTTGCAGTGATGGCCCCAGTGTCAAGGGTAAAGAGTGGCCATCGAGGCTACTGTCCTTCTCTACTGACCACAGGGGACACCTCTAGGGGAGCTTATCTTCAGGAAGTGTCCCTTCTGCAGAATAGGGATGTGTGAGCCCAAGATAAGGGATAAGGAAGAGGAGTGTTAACCATCCTGGGAGCTGGACATTCACTCTTGAATTTATCAGTCCCTGGGAGCTCAAGGTCATAGGAAGAGGTGGTTGAGCAAGGCGGTGAAGACCCAATTTCTGCCTGTCTGTTTTGCCTTGTTGATGGGTGGGTTGGACCAATCCAGGAAAGTAGTAGATAAAGTCTTGATGAAGAAGCTGGCCAGGGAACTACTCAGGACAAACCCATCAGAAGGAGAAGGGATATTCTGGAACCAGTGACTGCACAGCCAGCAACTCTGGGAGCTGGGGTGGGGATGATTCAAGGGTAACCACAGAGAGTCTACAGATGTAGGTGGGAACACGGATTTTGCCAGCAGGCTCCCTCTCGCCCCTCAATCCTAACATAGCCAGCAAATTAAGGCAAGCAAATCAATCCATCTCTCTGGGTATGAGGTCCTGCACTGTCAGAAGCAACCTCTACATTTGTGGGGGATGTGACAATACTGGGGCTGGAGCCATAGCACAGCGGTAGGGCGTTTGCCTTGCACGCAGCCAACATGGCCGACCTGAGTTCAATTCCTCCGCCCCTCTCGGAGAGCCCGGCAAGCTACCGAGAGTATCTCGCCCGCATGGCAGAGCCTGGCAAGCTACCCATGATGTATTCAATATGCCAAACACAGTAACAACAAAAGTCTCCAATGGAGACGTTACTGGGCCCGCTTGAGCAAATCGATGAACAACGGAAGGACAGTGATACAGTGACAATACTTACTTGCAAGGGTTACCGAAAGGAGTAAGTCAGCTAATATGTGTTGAAAGCATTAAATCATTCCTGGGTCTGAGCTAGAGGGCTATCAACATAGAGAGAAACGGAAGCGCGCATCCCTATGGCTGTACGAGTATCTAAGGAACAAGCAGCATATTAGGGTAAGCTGATCATTAAAGTCTTAGCACCCCAAAGGAGAAAGCTTCCAGACTTTGTTCTTGTGACGCTTGGGAACCTGGAGAATCAAGGAAGCTTCATTTTGCTGCTTGTTAACATTGAGGTGTGCCCCCGGCAAAGCATGGATGATGTTTCTCCTCCAAGCCTCCAACCAGCTGGAGACTCCAGCAGGCATTCAGGGAGGCCATCTCCCAGCATCACTGCACAGATCTAGAAGGAGGAGGCTGGGGAAGGGGTGGCAGGGTGGTGGGGGAGCTGTGAGGATCCCATTCATAATCTGAAATACAGGTTGCTAATGGGAGGTTTTGTCCAGGTTTTCTTCCAGAAAGCAAGTTGGTCAACGTGGTAATGTAGTATTCAAATATTAAATTTCATGTGAAAAGAAAATAATTCTTTTTTTATTTTATTTTTTATTAGTGAAACACCATGAGGTACAGTTGTAGATTTACAAATTTTTGTGCTTGGGTTTCGTTTATACAATGATCAAATACCCATCCCTCTACCAGTGCCCATTTTCCACCACCATGGATAATATCCCTCCCCCCCATCCCCCCCATCCCACCCTGCCACTGTGGCAGGGCATTCC